GTTCCAATACAGTTCCAATACGGTTCCTATTTTAACGATTTTCGAAACCGAACCTAGCTACAAAATTCTAATTTTAAGAAAGCCCGTAGAATTCTAAGAGACAAGTATTTTTAATTTTCTCCCCATGGGCCCTGGTTTTCAAGTAAAATGTGTTCGAAGTTTTGGCATTTTTTTTGGCAAACTGCGACCTCACCTATAGGGCGCCACGCCCGAAAGCAACAGAAGCAGCGGGATAGTGTGCTAGACTCCGAAACTAACGCCATTTTCTCTTGCTGGTTCAATTCCGCTTGCCGCCAAAGTTTTTCCCTTTTTTGACATGTATAAAATGTATTAAGAGGAACACTAAGATGAATTTTAAGAAATCAAAAAACATCTTAATACTTTGTGAGTATTAAGATGTTTTTAAAGTACCGGGTGAGCCAAAATTACCGTTACATATAAAAAAAAAGTCTGTATAAAAAGCAAATCAAAATGTCAAAGATTTTTCTTAAAAATAACCTTTATTGTCTCAGAACAATCTAAAACTGAACAACAAAATTCATAAAAACTATTTCTATTCAAACAAATCTCCATTAGCTTTTACACAAGCGTCCAAAAGTCTTGGAAAAGCCTCGACCGTGGCGAAGAGGTATAGGAGATTCAGCTCTTCCCAAGCCTTTACATTAGCGTTTACACAGGCGTCCAAAAGTCTTGGAAAAGCCTCGACTGTGGCGAGGAGGTATAGGAGATCCAGCTCTTCCCAAGCCTTTACATTAGCTTTTACACAGGCGTCCAAAAGCCTCGACCGTGGCGAGAAGGTATCCAGCTCTTCCCAAGCCTTTTCGAGCGCTTTTTTCAAACTATCAACAGTTTTGTGGGGTTTTGAACATGCTTTGGCTTCAAGGAGACAGAAAAATCCATCGGATTAAGATCCGGACTACTTGGCGGCCACTCATTGCATGAGATAAAATCTGGAAATCCGAAAACAGCACAAGTTTGAAGATCTGCGCATTTGCGCGCGAGCATCGTAACGGTGATTTTGGCCCACCCTCTAGAACAAGCATTACCCACCAGTTTTACTTATCTTTATCACTTCCTCCCCCCCAAATAACCGACTAGACACATTTCTCGTAGTGTGAATGAATCAGGAGCTTGTCAGTGAGAGAGAAAAGATTGTGTCCCAGTGTGAGAACCTGGCCTGTGTTGAGATGTTTACACGTAATCTCGAGAAATCCTCCCATTCACTGACCATTCCCCCTTTGCTTGCACCCGCCAAATATTCTCGGCCCAGAGATTCTCGATTTCTCGAATTTCTCGTGTTCATCTTTGTTTCCTGCTCGGCTCAGCTATGGGCAATTTTTCGCTGAAACTTTTCGCTGAAACGCTCCGTTGATTTCCTCAAACTCTGATGGGCCAATGCGCTCACCACAGCAGCCGATACGAGAATTTTAGGCACAATTTGGTGCCATTACCAAAGGTAAAGCCTAAAACCAAACTTCGCCAAGGTTTAGGCATACTAATATCTTGTACTATCTTGGATCCTAGATCTTGGAGATCTAAGATCCAAGATAGGTTAATAGGCTCTTGAAAAGTTTAGATCAAACAAATCCGAGTTCTAACTGGTAGACTCAATAAAATGAATAGTACCAATCGATTCGCGACCCTTAAAACCATAAATCTAAGCTCAATATCTTCTTTTTGTATCATCAACAGAGAAATCCTTGTAAATTCCTGCCGAAATGTTCTTTGTGCGGCCGCGTAATCGCTCTCGATCTGGCAAATCGCCCCGGTAGAACTTGCTTCGTTTTTGGAATCGATGCGTCAAAATCGTTTTGATCTAAATCCCGGTCTTATTATGCTCAAATTCTTGGTTTTAGTCAGAATCGCTCCTAATTCAGACCTAAGGTGGAGGAGCGGTGAGCGACTTAACCAGTTCAGCCTTTTCTTAGGCAGGACTATACCCAAATGTTTAGAATCGATTACCTTTTGGAATTAGTAATGCGTGCGTTGAAATCATTTAATTTAAATCCCTGCCTTATTATGCTCAAATTCTTAGTTTTAGTGAGAATCTGTCCTAATTCGGGTCTAAGATGAGACCGCTCCCGTTGAGCAACTTAACCAGTTCAGCCTTTCTTAGGCATCACTATACCCAAATGTTTAGGATCAATTTTTCCCTTAAATTTGGCTATATTTTTGCTAAAAATTCTACTGCTTGTCAAACCAGGCCAAATGGCAAGCCGAGACACTCAAAACCCTTCTGAAAAGCTGATATTTGATCTTAAAAGATGAAAGAATTGCCCTCGTCAAAGGTATATAAAAGTTTAAAATAGTATGATTTTAAAGATCATCTCAGGCTTATCTGTTTATATGGCTTATCTCAAATCACTCACTGCATAAATCATAGTTTGTTGGCGCATTTTTCGCAGTGTTCGTCGAAAATTGTCGGCGACACGTCGGGCAATTGATCGGGTCCAATAAATAGTACTGGAATTAAGCCAAATTTTTGAAAATTCTCTCAACTAGGCTCCAAATTCTCCACTCTTTTCTGTTAAAGAACAAATTTGACCCAAAATTTGCATAATCGCTACTTTATTGCACCCATTCTTCTTGCGTAAATTGAGAAGTATATGGTCCCCTTGTGGGTATTGTACTAGAACCATTTTGTTACTTTGAATCAAGAAGATTTGCTGTTCTTCTGTTTTGTTCTCTGTTTTGTTCTCTGTTTAAATTAGACGAACTCATTGTTTTTGAGATAAGAATTGAGAATACGAATAGTTGCAGCTAATTTTGTTAATTTGCTAATAGGCTAATTTTGTTCACTTACCTAATTCTCACCTTTCATCCCCTCACTTGCCAAAACAAGCACCCACATAATTGACGGGTTGAATTTGAAAGAAAACGAGGAGGGCAAAGTTCTCTTATTCTTTTCTTTAAGCGTGATGGATCAAGTTTCACTCCATCTTTAAGGCGACCCTTAGATGTTCAAAATTGATTTCCCTTGCCTAGCTTATATTTGCGTTTTTCTAACGTAAAATTCTCTATTTTGACGCTGTATTTTGGCTCTTTATTTTGACTCTTTATTTTGACTCTTTATTTTGACTCTTTATTTCGACTTTTTATCTATTCTTGATATCAAAAAATGTTTGGGAAAGTACTGCCTTTTCATCCAGCGGTTGGTTTCTTTTAAAAGAGATGCAAGAAGCTATATTTGGTTTAGCTGGTTTAGTTGGTTTAGTTGGTTTAGCTGGTTTAGTTGGTTTAGCTGGTTTAGTTGGTTTAGTTGGTTTAGTTGGTTTACTTGGTTTACTTGGTTTAGCTGGTTTAGTTGGTTTAGCTTCAAAAAAAACCGCTAATGTTTTGATTGGAATTTTTAAGGATTTGTCTATGTATCTTCCTAAATAATCAATCAATATTTTAGATTCTGGAGTCTCTCGATCGAATCGCCGTCTTGACAGACGCGCCGGTGCTTCCACAACTTGCTCAAGGACATCTCATGGAAGATAGCTCTTTCAAGAGGCTACTACTGGTTTGTGAATTCTATTTTCATGAATAATCAAAAACTAAATGAATTTCTAAGCATTCATTTATCAAGTACCGAGTTCAAAATTGTCCCACAAACGGTGTCAATCCTCAAAGCTTTAAAGATTGCCTAAAAGGTGCTGGTATTCTAGAGCTTCAGTAACTCTAGAGCCTTTCAAAATAGAATCTGTTTTGAAAAGTAGTTTTTAACTTTTCAGTAGTTTTTAATTTTTCAGTAACTTTTTAACTTTCCAGTAACTTTTCAAAACAGAATCTGTCTGTAGTTAATAAATTGATTTATCCTTTTCTTAAATGCAAATTTGAAATAACTCTAGCTAGAATCTTGCTAATCTTGTTTTTCTGTAGTAAACAAAATGACACTTCTTCCAAGTGAACTTGAAAATCCCTCTCAACTCCCAATTCCAATCCAATTCAAATGGGTACTCTAATCCAAACATGGCTTATCCAAACATGGCTTATCCAAACATGGCTGATCCAAACTTCCCTCTCTTTCTTCCTTTCTTTCTTCTTGTCTTTCCTATTTCTTCTTGGGAAAAACAGGTGCCAATAGCTCAGTGGTAGAACATCTACCGGTTAAGCACAAGATCGAGACTTCGATTCCCCCTAGCTTCTAAACTCTTTGCCATTAATTTTTTTACTTTATTAGGTTATTCCTGTACTTGGCTACTTTAGTACAGTACTTATCAGATTGCATTGTTTGCTTAAATAGATAGAAAAGGATTTCAGCTAGAATTTCATTGGATTTCAGCTAGAATTTTCAATTTCATTGAAATCCTTTTCTATCTAGACGACAAAGTCCAAAAATCTATGACGTTTTTCCAACGAAAGAAGAAGACTTTTAAAAACGGTTCCTCAATTGATTCTCCATCTAATTGATCTCAAACGGAGTGTTTGAGGGGAGAATGAGCTTGTGGGGATGAGATGAGATGAGATGGGATGAGAAATAGAAGGGAAAGAGCCCAGTCTATTCCCCTTCCCCTCCATTTTCCTAACTCTATCGAGCAACTGTGTGCATGTGTATCTGCGTGTGGCTTTGTTCATTTTTCTTCACCCTTTTCTTGGCCCTTTCCTTTCCCCTCAAGGGGTTCTTCCCCATCTTCTCCCAGTCCAGGCAACTGTTTCAGCCCCAAAGCCCTTCTCTTTTTCCATTCGGAAAACCCAATTTTCTCCCATAAAAGTATACGCTCCTTCTTTCAGAAAACATTTCTGAGCTTTGTTTTCTTTCAAGCTTTGTTTTCTTTCGAGAAAAGCTTTGTTTTTTCTGTTTCAACTGATGCCATTTTCGCCATTCCACTAGTCCAACACTAATCTCTGGTTTCCAAGCCGCTTTCAAAGGACTCGATTTCTAAAAAAATTCGGCTGTCACTCAACACCTCGACGCAACTCTCGTGGGAATTCTAATCGTGAAATTTCTTCCGAGTCTTGTCTTTGCGAGATCAACTAAACCGCAAGAGATTTTCGACTGAAAAGGGGAAGAGTCACGGCGGTGATCGATCTCCGTTGATGCTCTCCCCGACACTCACCACGTTCTCCATTGGACGCCAGGTGAGAGGCAACCAGAGGAAATTTCTCCCTTTTAGCAAGAGATTATTGATGTGCTTGTATCAACTAACATTTCTTGCATTCATTTGATTAGAAAGTGCTAGTATTCCTGCATCTATTCTTGCATCTATTCTTGCATTTGGATCGAAGCTAGTTGGCTTGCTAGATCGAGTCTGGTTTCAGTTCTTTCAGTCTTTTCCAAATCGTTCAGATTTGAAAGACCGATCGTTTTGAGTTATTCTTTGATATTTGAACATTGAGAAAAGTCTTCAACTTCAACTATTCACTGAATTCTTCAGGTTCTATTAAATTTCTGAAGTTTTTTCTGAAAAAAAAACAATTCCTGAAGTGTTTCTATTCTGAAAGTGTCTATTATCGCTAAAATTTTAAAGCCGCAAGATTCAACTATTCCAAAATCTTGCAAGGACTACTAAACTATTCAAAAATCTCATCTAGAGGACCACGAATTCCTCTAAATCCTATATCCAGCTTCTGCCAAGTGGATGGACTCAACCCTGTACCAGAATCTGTTACTCGCCATCCTCATCGGTGATCCTTGTTTATTCTTATATTTTATATATTTAGTTAGTAGGTTTATTCAAAAGAAACAGACATAAAATTCATTAATCAAAATCACAAGCAAGAACTAATACAACAAAATTGTTAAATGCAAAAAGAAAAGAACAAAGCAAAAATGATACACAATTACAAGTTAAACTGGCACAGTTTAATTTGTAGTTGTGTGTCCGTGACAACAATAAACATGCTTACATACCAAACAATATTTCTTCTGATCCTTGTGGGCTGAGATTGAGCATCGAAGAGAGTCGATTTGGCGTCTGATCGGCTTGTAGGCGGCAGTCTTTGTAGTGTATTTATCGGTTTTCTTGTATTTGGCTTCTGCTTTTTGCTCGATCACTCTGCCAGCAGTCGTTTTGTGCTTGGCACCCGACTCTGCACAAATTTGAGCCGCCACATCAGGGAGAAGCGACGTGTAGTTGCCGTTCCATTTAACACCACCTAAACAACAAACAATTACGGTTTAATATAAAATAATCAATATAAATACAAAGATACTTTTCATCAAAGAAGTGAACGTGTCCTCAAGCAACTGACCGGCCACTTAGACTCGATTCTGCCCAATCGGGAACATTGTAGGGTTGAATCGGTGGCATATAAACAAATGACTACTAGAATCTCAAGAAACAAGAACACTTACTTCACTGTTGGCAGACGGGAGCTCAGCGAGAAACACAACAAAGAAATCCAGAAGTGCCGTCTCAAGAAGCTTCACCTATGCTTTTGAAAGTGATGAGGCAAAGATGATCACTCCGTTGGCGGCGTTTTGCCGCTCCCGTCCTGTGCGGAGACTAAAGTAAGGTAATCAATCGTAAAAAAAGCCAAAAAAAAAGATAATTACCTCAGAGCTTTGATTTGCATTTGATGTATCCAGCCGCCGTCCCTGGCCGTTTCGGATATACTCATCCTCCAGAGCGGAAATGAGATCATCGATGTTCTATAAAATTAAGTGAATCATTAATTATCTAGTTAAAAGAACTAACTTTTATGGTGTCCCTTGAAGCGGTGGGCAATAGACCATATAGGAAATGATTCAAATGCTAAAAGAAATAACATAATTGAAGAACAACAACAGAAGAACTCACTGGAGAGGATGAAGAGTCGCGTGATGAAGTGGTGACGGGCTAAGATCATTGATACAGATATAACTTTAATCTTAAAAAGACTAGGAGCATGCAGTTCAATAACTAAATCTTAAAAAGTATCCTTTTTGGTGCTTTTTACGAAAACCTCTACAAAAACTGTCTAATTTATTGCTACCTAACGTCAAATTATTAAAACTATTCTTAATATTATATTAAAAACAAACAAAACCAACCTTTGTGAAGGCCTCGATGAAGCTTTTCATGAAGATGAAGCTTGTCTCGATGTGGCGAGAACCACTCCTCTTTGCTGATCGCTTTCTTTTCTTGCTTTCTTCACTCGTCGAGCCATCTTATCGCCGAAGACCAAGTCGGCTTTACCTAAAAAAAAGCGAATTAGTTAGAAATAAAAAATAATAAAATAAAAAGCAATAAAATAAAAAGCAATAACATAATAAATAATAAAGCGCATCTCCAAAAAAAAGTAAACACAAAATATCGATGGGCACAGCGGTTGTGGTGCATTTTAGAAAACAGAGGATGATGTATAGACTTAGGCTCCTTTCTGGTGTTCACCGTTTGCGTGATTTGCGTGGGGATTCTCTCGGATCGTGGTTTTTGTTGTCACGACTCTCCGCGTCTCAATCATCCATTACCCTCCGAAGGTTGTCCCTCGGAAACTCATCTCGACGTCGAATCTCATACTCCTCAAGACGTCTCCTCCGCCGAGCCACCCGAAAAGCACTCGGTCACTCCGTCTGCGCCGTCAGAATCGTATCTCTCTGGACAGGTTGGGCAAATTGTTGGAGTTGTTTTGAAAAGACAGTTTCTTAAATTTAGCTTTCTATAGGTAGAGTAATAATCAGAACTGTTCCAAAAAACACAAAGGAAGGTCAACTCGATGTTCTGGCCAAATCACAATAGCCATTCGATGCAGCATTTCACATTGATCATGATGCTGCTTTTCTTTTTTTTTACTACGGAACACTCTGTCAAAAGTTATGTGCGTTTAAAGTTTTGCAAAGAGTTTTAAAAATCAAAACGCGAAATTACAAGTCTGTCTTTCGTGAGTTGATCGATTGCAACGATGGCCGAGTAGCAGTGAGTTAGGACGCAAAGCTCAGCGTGAAATTCTGCGTCGAATGATCTATGGCTCATGTGATTTGCATTTTCAGTTGACCTTTTCTTGTAAGATCTTTAAGCTAGACTTGGCTATAGCTGGCTATGTTAAGCCTTGGCTATGTTAAGCTTGGCTATAGTTGACTGAAACCTCAAGTTAGCCTAGTTGATATTTCTAATCAATCTAGCTATATGTCTAGATACCGTTGACACAAAGTTTCGAAAGTTTGAAATCACAAGAAACTGGATTTTCTGGCAAGAAACTTGCTTTGCTGCGTTCTTCACAAATTCCCATTCTCTAGCATAACAACTATCAACTGTTGGGAGGGAACGGCTCGTGCACGGGGACGACGTGCTCGAGTCGATCAGCGACCAGCTCATCGAATCCCTCGAATCCAACACACGCATCTCAGTCTCTCATTCGAGGAATCGCTCGCAAATCCGTCGATCTACTCGAGAGGAGCTCGTCCGACGAGCGCTACGACATTGTCGTCATCGACGCCCGACAGGCGGGAATCCTCCCCGGAGGAGACACTGACAGCCACGAGAACTCTCCCTATCTCACCCGTATGTCGAAATCCCGGAATTGTTTAGGGAAAGGTTTTGGTGAGGCTGTTGATTGGGCTAGTGAGTAGTTCTAACATTTGTATTGTGTAGGCATTAATAATTAGCGAAAGTGAGTTAAGCGAAAGTGACTTTAGCTTTCAAATCGACTAATTATTAGCCTTTTACTCTTGAATTTTCTACTCAGACTTAACTTTTTAAAATTGCATAGAAAACAGTTAAAATCTAGTAAAGTAGGATATTTTTCAGCTCTCTCAGTTCAATTTTTCAGTTCAAATCCAAAGCTTTCTTCTCTTTTGAGCATTTTTGCATAAACTTTTTCACGATTCAGATGTTTATGCTTAAAATTTTGACAATTTTACAAATTAATTCACCAAAACCTTTCCGATGATCACACTCTTTCTCTCCAAACACTAAAAAATCAATCGATCGTTTTCCCGTGATTATTTTGAGCAGGAAAAGCATTTGTTTTTCCATTTGCGAGTGTGAAGTGAAATTTGACCCAATTTAGCACTTCTGTTAGTTATGCACTGAAAGAGAAAAAAAAAGGAGAAGCATCTTTTTCGAAGTGTAGTTTACCGCTTTCAAGGTGTTCCCCAATGGGGATTTCTCGGGTCGATAGATGGGGTCAGCTGTTCCCCTTTTGAAGAAAATCCCGATGTTTGTCTCGATCTTTTGCCTTTTCTTTGCTTTTTCACCGCTCTTTTCTTCCCGAATCATGATCCCCATTACACTTAAAATAAACGTGGATGACAGAAAATCGTTTTTGAATCGAAATTTGTGGTTTTTCTATAAGTAAAACTTGTTTTAACAAGTCAAAATCGAGTCGAAAGCTTCACCAACAGGAATATTTCTTATAATATTATAATAGTATAATATTTCTTTAAAGATTGTGTAAAGCCAAGCCTGTTTTCTAAAAGGTGAACAATTCAGAAGATTACCGTACTCTTTTCTTTAAATTCTAGATTTAGATTTAGATTTAGATTTAGATAGATTTTTAGATTGTTAATGGCAAAAGGAGCGTATCAAATGAGCATATCGCCCCCTTTGCCATTGGCAATCCAACTTTGAGCTCAAATTTCTTGGTGCTGGGTTATCGAATTCAAATAGTTTTTGTACCAATCGACAGAGAAAGACTTGGCGCATCTAATGATACTAAGAACGTGTAAATTGAACAACCCAACACCAAGAAATTTGATTTCAAAGTTGGATTGCTGATGGAAAAAGGGGCGAGGCGCGTATAAAAGGTCCGATAGCCTCTTTGACGCATCTAATGATACCAAGAATATGTAAATAGTCACCAAGAATAGTCAAGCTGTGAATGGGATCAAATTTAAGTATTAGAGAAGCTTGAAGTAAAGTTTACGATAGTTTTCTAAATTATCCAACCTTTAGAAAACATACTAAGTTCTAATCTTTACGAATACTGTAAAGTCCTTATTCTTTGGCTAATCCGGATTCAAATGTATTTTACTACTATAGAATTCAAATATAGACTTTAAAAAAGGTGTTTTTAGAGGTCTTCATAAATTAAGACTGAATATCTTTCTCTTTACTTCAAATTTTAGGAACTTTAGTGCTTTATCTACATAAATAAAACATAGGAACTTCATAAAGTCTTCCATAGATGCATAAAACTTATTAGATTGCTTTGTTTAAGATCTTTTTAGGGTAAGGTCGTACTTTTCCTTTCCTTTTCCTTTACTACAAAATCCCTTTCATCTTCGTATCCATAAATTACCCTTTTGCTCTATACAGAATCCTCTCATTTCACTCGATTCACTCGCCAATCGAATCTCGTTTACTTTCAATGAAAAGTCTAGGTAGCAGTCAATCTCCTCAAAAAGATCTCCTCAAAAGATCTCTTCAAAAAGCAACTTTGTCAAATAAAAAGAGCTTTGGGTGTTCCCCCTGGAGGAGTGAAAAGGAGTGGATTTATCCATCGGGAATGGCTTGGGGAAGGAGGGAAGGGAAGGCAAGACGCGTCTGTCCCAAAGCTAGTTATCGGGTGCTTCTTTTCCTTTTTCTCTGAAAAATGTTTGCGAATTTGCTGCCAAAGGCGAAAAGTTCGAATCGGAAAAGAGATAAGGGATTTGGGATTTGAGAATGGAAGGAAAGGGTTAAAGATTGGAGAAAGTTTGGGCTAAGGATAAAGCTAGGAAGCAAAGAATTACGAGAAGCCGGGTTAAAGACTCAAGCTTAGAGAAACAAGGACAAGAAGCTAGGAATCAAGATCTTGCAAGCAGACAACAAAGGCCAAAGATTTAGTCAGAAATCGAGAACTAGACGTTGAGATTAAAAGCTAAAGATGCCAGACGAGAGAAAGAAGTGTAGAAGTGAGTAGAGAGAGAGAGAGAAAGCAGAGAGGCGGGGGGGTGAATCGACCTCGAGCTCCCTGTGCCCATCCTCACCCATCCCTTTTACCCTTTTTACCCCTTTCTCTCATCCGTACCCATGAAATGCTCCCATCTTCTTCGCCGTTTAAGCATGAGATGAACGATGATGAGGATGAGGAGCTGCCTGGACCGTCCGGCTTACCGGATTCTCCCGATTTCCCCTTGCCACCCCCATTATTGCCTGTTTTCAGCACCCAGTCCGCCGTTTGTACGGTTCAGTTAAGGAACTCGGTACGATTTTTTCATTTCTATTCCTCAATTAGATGAAAAACCCGCCTAACGGATTTTTTCATTTCTATCCCTCAATTAGGTGAAAAACCCGCCTAACGGGGGTGGTATTCGTTTGGTGTATGGCGCAGTTAGTAGAGCAGTGGTCTACAGCCCCGGCTAACCGGGGTTCGATGCCCCTCGGCGCCGTTCGATCTTCAATTTTGAATTTTTTATCTTAAATGGCGTAACTACATTATATTCTAAGGTTTTGTAAAAAAGTTTTAGCTTTATTAGTCATCGTTTTTACCCGTAAAGTCAAACAGACAGATGCGGCTCTTTTATACCGTATTTCTTCGAATAGAAGACCGGGTAAAGAGAATCATCGCGTACTCCTGCGTAGCAGCCCTTTTTAAAAGGCAGCCCTTTCTTTTCTGCATAAAAGCTTTCAATGAAGTGCTATAGGGCTGGAAAATGGCTCAAAAATACCACATGAGCTAACAGATTTTTGAGCCATTTTCCAGCTCTATAGCCCTTGATTGAAAGCTTTTATGCAGAAAAGAAATTTTAAAAAGGGCTGCTACGCAGGAGTACGCGATGCCTCTATTCCGATGCCGCAGGAGTACACGATGATACTCTTTATCCGGTCTTCTATTCGAAGAAATACGGTATATACTAAATGGCTCTTTCAGTTGGCCTAAACAACTTTTAAACCAATCTGTTTTAGGTAACGAATTGCGCTTTTCCCCAGCAATGAATCCAGTTGAATCCAATTGAATCTCATTGCTAACTAATACTGACAAATTGCGTCTAGTTTTAAGGGAAAATTCATTATTCATTTGAATTTTATCATTTTATTTCAGTTGTATGAAAAGATCTCCCAGCTCAGCACGCATCCAATCGTTTGTGGAGAAGATGCATCACTTCTAACGAAAGATGTTCGTTTAGAAAATTTGATTTAAAATTTGAAATAACAATTTTAAAAGTTTCAAACTTTCAAAAGACAATTCAAAGTATTCAAAAGCGTTATTAGATTGCACTTCAATTGCGATTCATTGATTGATTTGCGTCTAATGATTAAGAAAGCTTACTTTTTAATGGATTCATACAAGCTATCAATTCATAGCTTCTGATAGATGATAGACAGCGCTGCTTCTGATAGATGACAGCGCTGCTTCTGATAGATGTTAGATACAGCGCTGCTTCTGATAGATGATAGATACAGCGCTGCTTCTGATAGATGACAGCGCTGCTTCTGATAGATGATAGATACGGCGCTACTTCTGATAGATGATAGATACAGCGCTGCTTCTGATAGATTTTGTTTTGAAAGTCAAAAGATTCATATTATCTTTGCTGTTTTCGTCTCATTTCTCGAATTCCAGGTAATCTCCTATATTGAGACATTGATGGCACCAAGTGGAGAAGCGCTCGAGTTAAGGCAATTACTAGCCATCAACGATGTGGTGGTGGGTTGAAAAATTTGTTTTATTAGGTTGAGTACAAAGTCTTGCACCCATGATTTCATTATCTAAATAAACGAAACTATCAACGATCTTAAACTATCAAATACCAAACGATTTTTTTCATTATAAATCTTTATCGTTTACTTTTTGTCATTTTAAAAACAATTTTTAGTGTTTTAGAAGAGTCTGCGAGAACGAAAAGTGATATTTTTAAATAGAAATATTGAAAAACCAGCAATAAACGATTGCTAACGTTCGCGTTTTCCACTGTCGAGGTCCACGTTTCCCGCGCAATCTAAGCCTCGCCCCTTTCTACCAATGGTTACGCACAGATGGACAGACTCTGTTTTATATAGTAAATAAGCGCATCAAGAAAACAACTAAACAGATTATTGCGAAATTTAGATTTTAAACGTATAGTACTGGACAATGAAGTATCATATTTGAAAAAAGATCGTCACTTTCGCGCGTCTGTAACTCCCTTGTCTTTGAGTTTAAACTATTAGTGTTATACATTTTCTGAAAGCTCTTTTCAAGGGCTACACAATGGTAATATTAATATTTAGAAATACGGTAAAGACAAGGGAGGGACAAGGGAGGGACAAGGGAGACAAGTAGCGGCCTTTTTTCAAATATGATATTTCATTGTCCAGTAGTGTAACTTTTTGTGCGCTATCTTTTTTATTTTCTCATCAAAATAGGTTTCATTGAAAGAAACGATCGAAATCGCATCATTTTTGTCGTTTTTAAACACTCGGCTTCTTGTTAATGAAAAACCTTCAAAAAAAAGCTTTTCAGAAACTTTCAAAAGTCATTTGTAAGAGAAATGATTGGGCTATTTGATAAAAAAATTGTTTCATTTGATAGCTTGAAACTTATTCAATTTGAAAATGAATTTGGGTGAAACACTTTCAAGGTGCGAAGTAATTATGAGCTTAATAGACAGCAAGACATTAATTATGAGCTTAATAGACAAAATTCCACATAGTCATTGTTTTAAATCTTCAATCTTTTACAGAAATATATTGTTAAACTAGTTTATTCCACAAAAAGTTTCATTAATTGCATCTCTCGCTTCTCTGAAGGCAATTCCTGTGCAAGATAGCCAGAAGAAAGTCTTTTTTGAGGTTTCGCTTCAATTTCTTAGGCATTTCTTACTACTAATCACGATTAGCTAAAACTAATAGTAACTAGTATGTTTACTAAGTAAGTAAACAAGTAAGTAAGCAAGTAAGTAAACAAGGAAGTAAACAAGGAAGTAAACAAGGAAGTAAACAAGTAAGTAAACAAGTAAGTAAACAAGGAAGTAAACAAGTAAGTATGCAAGTAAGTAAGCAAGTAAACAAGTACGTAAACAAGTAAGTAAACAAGTAAGTATGCAAGTAAGTAAGCAAGTAAACAAGTAAGTAAACAAGTAAGTAAACATCTATCTTTAGTCCTCTTTGCAAGCGCATGATGTCATCGTTGAAGAGGTTTACGGAACGGAGAGAGATCTCAGCGCTCCATCAACAAGCACCGCACATCAACAGATTGAGCCACAGCCATCAACGGTTAGTGAAATGTTTAGAATTGTACAGACAAATCAGCCTATAGTATTTCTGTGTTTATCAATGATTTATAAACACTTTCCTCTTTTTTGCAGAATAATTTGAAACGTTGTAGATGCTTGACTAACTAAATCTACTCTCAGTTAGTAGTTCTTGAAACCTTGAGTAATCAATTCTTGAGTAACCAAATAATGAATGGCTTTACATCAAAGATGTTTGATGCAAAGCCATTCAACCAAAATCATCCCCAAAAATGTTATATCATTTCTCTTTTTCTTAAATTTCGAAGTGCAATTTGTTTCCCCTAAGCCATTTCGTTTGGCAAAAGGGGATTTTTGATAAATTTTCCTTTGATCCATTCATTGCGAATCTTTCTTTTCCTTCTCAATCCGATTGGCAGTCAGTTGTCTCTCAAGTTTTGATCACAAAAAGAGAACCAAGAAAAGAACCAAGAAAAGATTGGGTTGAAAAAAGAAACGATCAACTCAAAGCCATCATTTGAGTCTCATGCTTTTTCAATGTTAAAAAAAGAACAAGAAAAAGTTGAGACTTTTAGCACATTGACCTAAAAAAGCTGAAGGGATGAGGTGCTTAAAAGTCGACTTTTTTCACGAGTTTTTAGCAAAACCTGATTGAAGTTTCGTAGTTTTTATAAGCTGGACAAAGATTTCTTTTAGATAATTTGATTTATAATATATTTAAGTTTAATTAATAGGTAAAAAATCCGATTGAATTGCGAAAAAGCACGTGAATTAAATTGTGCAATTTGGCAAAATTTATTCTTTTTTGACATGAACACAAGAAAAAGTAGAACTTCTTTAGTACTTCTTTAGTACAATAGTACTTTAGTACTTCTTTAGTACAATAATACTTTAGTACTTCTTTAGTACAATAGTACTTTAGTACTTCTTTAGTACTTCTTTGGTACAATAGTACTTTAGTCTTCTTTAGTACAATAGTACTTTAGTACTTCTTTAGTACAATAGTATACATTATTATTACTTAAATTGCTAATTCTGAAATTACTAAACTACAATTATTAAACAGGCAGACCTGACAGACTCATCAGTGCTAATTACGCTTTGACAAAGTCTAGAGTTTCATTTTTGATCGCTTTTCCAAGAGTAAAGCATAAGGCCCTACTCTGGCGACAATGGGATACATGTCAATGTATCTTATTGGTAAAGTGTTCGCCCGAAAACTTTGCAATGGGAAGCGAGAGATCGGTTCGCATCTTGGCCCCGACCATGTTTTGTATTCCTAGCCCATCAAAGGACTAGCTCAAGCTTTGTCTGCTAGAATCTCAATCAATACGCGAAATGGGTTCAAATTGAGATGCGTAAACTGGGTGGCGTCCAAAATTGGGGAGACACGGGGAGAAGAGGAAAGAAATTAGGTTCAAGGGTATTAGGTGATGGGCCTTGGTCTTCGAGGTGGTCGTGAAAGGAAAAAGGAGAGAAGAAAGGGGATGAGAAAGGGAGAAGGTTGGGCTAGACAAGGAAGAAGAAAGGAATGGAAAGGAAGAAGGGAATGGAAAGGAAGAAGAAAGGAATGGAAAGGAAAAAGAAGGGAATGGAAAAGACCTCTTGACTCTAATTTGCGCGATTGAATAATGGGAAAGAGCCTGGTCCCTTATTCGGGAAGAAAATGGGGATCTCCCAACCATTCGACATTTCGAAATTGGGTCTTTGTGATAAATTGGATAATAGCTTAATATTAATATTAGTTTAATATTACCGTAAATACTGTAATAGTACCCCACCCCTCTCGTACAGTCGCGTAGTCGCGAAAGTTTTTTAGTATTTCATTTTTTAGCGCTCGTAGTTTCAAAAAATGTGTCTTTGGTATCAAAAAATAGCCCTGAATTTCAGCTATTTTTTGATAACTAAACGCGCATTGTAGCATAAACCAGTGTCGAGAAAAACTCGTTCAAAGCTAGACTATGCAACACTCCGCACCGTCATTATGGGGCTGGGGTACTATTAAAGTATTTACGGTAGGTATTAGAAGTAAAAAACGATAGCTACGCGCATCTTTTAGAAAACAAGAACATAATGTTCGATTTTTCTTCATTAATATCCTTTCTAAAAGTCCTAAAAGACTAAAATCTAAATTTTAGAAATCTACCGTAAATTGGGCTCAATTTACGTTACATAACTAACGAGTAAACCTACGGTAGTTTTCTAAAATATTAGCTTAAAATTTAGTAAAATCGGCAAAACAAGCGGCAAAACACGTTTTATTCAAAACTTTTAACAAAACTTTAAAGACGAACTTTGTCTTTCTTTTCGTCATTTTTTTTTTTCCTCAAACTCTCAGAAAATGTTTCTTCTTTCCAAAAATAGTAATGGAAGTGCCAAGAAATTTATGCAAAATTGCGGAGAAAAGCTTTTCTCTGAAGAAAACTCCTGAAAAACAAAGTTATGATGATTTCTCTTTTGCAGAGTGGCGTGTCGACGAGTGGAGTTGGAGGTGTGGCGAGTCTTCGAGAATCAGTCAGACAAACCACCGGTTTTTCCACATCAACGATGGAAAGTTCTTCAATGAAAGAAAGAGATCCTTCTGCTCCTTTTTCATACCTCAATGGAGGCGTGCTTCCGCTTGGGGCACATCGAGCCGGCACGAGTCACGATGACTTTTTGCCTACGAGTTTCACTGGTACGTTGTTTTCAATGTTTTCCCTAAGCGCTTTAAAACGTGACCCGGCTGCCTTAGGCTTAGGCTTGGACTTAGGCTTAGGCTTAGGCTTAGGCTTAGGCTTAGGCTTGGATTTAGGCTTAGGCTTGGACTTAGGCTTGGACTTAGGCTTATGCTTAGACTTAGGCTTGGGCTTAGTGCGTAGGCTTAGGCTTTTAGGCTTAGCTTAGGCTTAGTGCGAAGGCTAGCGACTAGCGCCTAGCACGAAGTTTATTTGGATTTGGGCTTACCGCCCATTTTCTGAATCTCGGCGAGTTCCCAGAGCTTTTAGGCTTAGGCTTAGGCTTATGACGAGTGTTAAACAGCAACCAGTTAGATATTATATTAAGTTAAGAGTTGTAAACGTAGTCGTAAAAATTATCATCCATCAGCTGCGATCGTGCTTTAAAATGTCTTCCAAGTTGTTTCCTACAACTTTTGACACTTCTAGAGCTTTACATCAATTTCAACTACTTTAAAATAAGCTCCTGGATAAATTAGATATAAATCCAGGAATAGAAAGAATGATTCTCATCTAGATTTCCCAGAATTAGAACCAGAATCCCTAAATTACTATAAGATTTAAATCATATCTTGAATTATAATGAAAGTAATTTCACCATCCAGGGTGTTCAACAATTACGGGGACTACTTTTGAGAAAACCTTTGATACCGAAAAAATTTTCGATAAAAAGTAGGAGAATCCTTGGGGCGGACTCATTCCGAAGTGCCTCAAAAGCTAAAAATTGACGAAACATCTTTAATAGATTAATGATGTCGAGAATTAGAGCTTTCAAATGGTATATAATACATTCTACTTTCTATGGAATGTTTTTTCACTATCAAAGTTTTTTTAAAGACTAGTGTTGAGCACTCTGTATAATTTCAATTGTTGACTTTTGACATGAACTAGCCAACTTCTTCACATCATTTTTTCCTTAGGATGACTCAAAAGGACTAGTCTGCAACCCAAAAAACACTCTTTGGCCTTTTAAATAAACAAACTCCCATATGATGTCTCGGTTTTGCTTTCATTTTTGCTTAGGCTTTTGCTTTCATTTTTGTTTTTTTTTTAAATTTCTTTATTTTAGGTGATGATGATGACGATTTGTTGATGGATTCGGTTTCTCGCGTTCGTCTTGTACAATTCCAGAAGGATTCTGAGGAGCCGATGGGGATCACGTTAAAAGTGAGTGAACTTTTTAAAAATTTCTTAAAGGAGAGCTTTTGGAAAAGATTTATAAGTAGTAGAGCATTAGAATTCTTGAAAAATTAAAGATTACATTCGCTTTATACAAATAAAACGGATTTGTGTCTACCTTTCTAGAGTTAAACAACTTAAAACCAAGTTAAAACCATTTTTGAATGAGAATTTGAACTAAAGGAAAGCTAGTGCAATAGAAAATCTGTAAGTGAAATATATGAATGGCTAAATTCTTTAAATACTCCTTTCCCAACCTTTTTACCTTTTGATTTAACTAAAGGACTAGTAATATGTATGTATTGTGGCTAAATTCTTTAAATCCCTAAAAATTCTTGTAGTTATTTCTAATTTTAAGAGCCAATTTTGACCCATTTCCTTTCGCCGCTGATAAGATTCCTTTTAAAAACATGAAAGAAGTTCCCATCTTGCTTAAAAACCATTTCACATCCAAATAAAGTTATTTTTCAATGTTTTTCTTGAAAATTCTTTCCACTCGGCTGCTCGTCGAATCCATTTTTCACTTCCGTTTCAAAGACCGACATTTAGGCAAAAAAGGGGATTAGTAAGCTGAGAAGTAAACAAAATGAGAAGTAAAATGTTTAGAAAAGAGAGAATTGTAGATATTTTGTAAACAAATCGAAGTAAATATATCAAAAGTATAAACAAATATGGGAATTTTAAGTTTAAATGATAGTTTAGAGTTATTGAGGCTCTAAACTGGCAAGTATTGGAATCAAATCAGTGCTTTGCTTGTCCCAGGAGACCTTTGGGAATATGGGAACTTGTGTCAATACTTAAATTGAACTTAGAGCTTAAAATTTTCAGATTTTTAAGAAATCAAGCGATGATTGTATTTCTTTTATCTAGAAATTTATCCAACTGATTTCTTTTATCTATAAGATTATCCATCTTTTATCTTTTAACTTATTTCTTTAGGTGACAGAAGATGGACGGTGTTATGTGGCGAGGATAATGCACGGCGGGATGATTCACCGACAAGGTTTGAGCTACAATTACTATTGAATGGGGTCTTGAGCCATGATCTAGAAACCAGACTCATTCTTCGTATTCAAAAATGCAAACACGCCATTTCTAGTGCATTCAATTTAATATTGTACGGCAATAATTTGTAAATATCGCATCGTTGTCGTGAAAAAATATAAAATTGATGTGCTAGAAAGGGGTTTGTCAATGGAAAAGAACAAATCTGGGAGTGGGACAAATGCGATCTTTTTTTTTGCGCACCCGGACATTTGCGCACCTTTTTTTTCCGCACCTTGCCCGTTAGCGCACCTTTTTTCTCGTTTTAAAAAAGCTCTAAAAAGCTAATATTAACCAATTTCTATTCCAAAAGTTGTTTTTCTAGGTATTCTAGGTAATTTGAGGGTGTCGAATTCAAATTTTGACATATCAGAGCTTGTGGAAACAAACGGACGGAGTTATACAAAGAGAAAAATCGACAATTTTCTGTAATTTGATCTAGCCGTTTTATCTTTCAAATTGGTTCCACACGCTCTGTTATGTCAAAATTTGAATTCGACACCCTCAAATTACCTAGAAAAACAACTTTTGGAATAGAAATTGGTTAATATTAGCTTTTTAGAGCTTTTTAAAACGCGAAAAAAGGTGCGCTAATGGGCAAGGTGCGGAAAAAAGGTGCGCAAATGTCCGGGTGCGCAAAAAAAAGGTCGCATTTGTCCCACTCCCACAAATCTGACATAAAGAATACTTACTTTCAAAATAATAAATCATTAAAATAATAAAAATTTAAATTATTAGCGAACTATATTATTTCTTGTTTTTAGCAACTCTTCATGTCGGCGATGAGATCCGGGAGATCAACGGTGTTTCGGTGGCACATCGATCAGTGGAGTGTCTTCAACAAATGTTAAGAGACGCGAGAGGACAGGTATTCATTTAGATATGTTTAGAATTAGATTAGAATTAGATTAGAATTAGATTAGAATTAGATTAGAATTAGATTAGATTTAGATTAGATTTAGATTAGATTTAGATTAGAATTAGATTAGAATTAGATTAGAATTAGATTAGAATTAGATTAGAATTAGATTAGAATTAGATTAGATTTAGATTAGATTTAGATTAGATTTAGATTAGATTTAGATTAGATTTAGATAATGTTCACTTGTTGGTGTTGTATTAGGTTAAGTACTAAGTTTTTCACTCAAATTCATTTTCTAATTGAATAAGTCTCAAACTACCAAATGGAATACGGCTTTTTTTCATTTTATAGCCATTTCTCTTGCAAACGACTTTTAAACGTTTCTGAAAAGCTTTGTTTTAACGAGGAATTGTCTCGATAAGGTTTTTGACCCACTTTTTCAAAAGAAAATATAAGTGATAGGTATCATTAGATAGCTTAAAGTCTTGGATTTTAAATAAAAAAAAGTTCATTGAAATCCGATACTCTGGAGGCTAGATCAAGCGCCTGAAGTTGGCGCGACCCATTAGTCTCGTTAACTCTCGTTAGCCAAGTCTAATACCTACCGTGCTGATAACAATATTCATCTAAGCCTTGGCACAATGAGGACTGATTTTTTTTTGTTTTTTTACGGTAATCAACACCTGAGCGGAAAATGATAAAGCAATGCGATAACCACCAATAAACTTTTGCCTTAGTATTACACTGAGCTTTTCAGGTAACGTTCAAAATCGTTCCCTCCTATCGATCAGCTCCGCCAGCATGCGAGATCTTTGTGAGAGCTCAATTTGACTACGATCCCACGCAAGACGATTTGATACCATGTCCACAAGCTGGAATGCCTTTCAAAACTGGCGACATCTTACAAGTAATTGATTAATCATAATAAAGATCATAATAATAATCAATTGATAATTGATTAATCATAATAATAATCAGCTTTGTAGGTGATATCAAAAGATGATCACAATTGGTGGCAAGCGAGGTTCATTTCAACGTTTCCTTCACTGGGAAATCCGAATAAAGACTCGCAGGTTGGTTTTTGGTTAGAGTTCTTTAAAAGTGAAATAAAATGTCGTGGTTCTAATAAATACATACAGTACTTTACCCAGAACTAATTTTAATTTATTTAGGCTCAAACCGCCGGCCTGATTCCAAGCCCCGAGTTGCAGGAGTGGAGAACGGCTTGTTTAGCGATGGAAAGGCACAAAGATAACTGTAAGTTGCATTGTTTATTTTGATAAAACTATCTACTTTCAGGTCTACCAGCTCATTGCATGTGGTTCAACAAGAAAAAGAAGTACTACTCGACGAAATACCTCCAAAAGCATTCCACACTCTTTGATCAGCTCGACCTTGTCACGTATGAAGAGGTGAGATTGGAATTTCACTTGTCTTAATAAAATAAAGTAAGGAATGGTAAAGGAAGATTTCCGGAGAGGGGATTGAACCCCTCAGCCCTTTTGCTTTCCAGGCAGATGCTTTAACCACTGAGCGTATCTTGCCAGTATCCGGTATCTTGCCAGAGAAGAAAGAGGAAATACAAAGGGGAGAGAAAGGAAGAAAGAGAAGGAAAGCTAATGTTTCAGGTTATGCGATTATCACAATATCGACGTAAAACATTGGTATTATTGGGTGCTCACGGAGTCGGGAGGAGACACATCAAGAACACGCTCATTCATCGACATCCACAGCGATTTGCTTATCCGATTCCACGTGAGTCAATTCGTATTAGAAAATGCTTTCTTAGTATTCTCGATTTTTGAAGAACACACTTTGAACTAGACTTGTAACGAAAACATCTGTCGGTCCTTTTTTGCTGTTGGCAATTTAAGGTTTTTTGTTTTTCGCAGCACCAACCCTACGATTTTGACTATTTTGACTATAATTCGATGCAGATTAAAATTGCGCGTTAAATGATACCAAAATTAACTCAAAATGTTCCATCCATGCGAAGTTATGAAGCAAAAGGTTAAGTCCCGCAAATAATGGGCGGGGTTTAGATTTTTAGTCAAAAACTTTGTGTAGATATTGCATTTTGAGTTAATTTTGGTATCATTTGACGTGCAGCAATTTTATTCTGCCTCGACTGATAGTCAAAATCGAAGGGTTGGTGCTGAGAAAAACATGAAAAACTTTAAATTGCCAACAGCAAAAAAGAACCGACAAATGTTTTTGTTACTTTGAACATCTATACTGAGTATCTCCACTTTTAGGACTCTTTGATATGTGCCAATGATCCTAAGTAGTGTGAAGCCTGGATTCTTTGAGTTCAAATTGAGAAGCTGAATTTGGACGGGTATTTTGAGCAGGGCAGCTCATAAGCCATGACTAGCCAGGCCAAGGTCATGGGTATCACGGAAATCTGGTCTTAGAACCGGATCTTTTTGATACCGGTGCAGCTCAAACAAACTTGGCACCATTCCACACACCTCGTGGCATTTCATTAGTCTATCTAGAAACCCCAAAAGCTATTTTATCATAATGCTAAATAAAAATCATTGACCATTCACCAAAATCTCTTAAGAACACCGTCAGAAGATTCATAAATTCTCCATTTCTAGATACTACTCGGCAACCGCGCAAAGACGAGGTCGACGGAAAGCACTATTACTTTGTATCCAATGAACAGATGATGGTCGATATTCAGAATAATGAATATCTCGAGTATGGGACACATGAAGAAAGCATGTACGGGACAAAACTTGAAACGATTCGGAATATTCACAAAAGTGGAAAGATCGCTATTCTGGATGTGGAACCGCAAGCGTTGAAAGTGCTTCGAACAGCCGAATACTCGCCATTTGTCGTTTTCATCGCGGCACCAAACTTGCAGGGGTTACAAGATGTGAGTGAATAAATATGAAATAGAAAAACAAACTTTATGATAACCTAGAAAAGTCGGTTTTTTATCATCACATTGTCTTTGTCATTGAGTTTATCTAGTGTAGCAGATTAACTGCTTTCAAAAAATTAGATTGCATTTTTTAATTAATGATCCTATGAAAAAGTTACTGTACTTTGAGATAGGGTTGTTCCATCTGGGCTAGGTCAGAAGCCAGACTTTATCTAGACTTTGCATTGGGCGAGTCCTGGCTTGATTCCTGGCTTGGCGTGGCCCAAAAAATTGCTGAAACAATTCTTTGGAGCTTGTCCACTGGAGTATCTTACATAAAATATTGGGTTGGGGAGTATGAAATGGCGGCGTTATCGGAAGAACTTTTGAAAAAAACTAAACCATAACTTTTTCTCTAATAATAATTGAAGTTTTGTTGCTTATACGCCAAAATTTCATCCCAATCTGATGCACAGTTTTTGAGAAATGGGGATAGATGTGATGATCGACTTTTGACTACCAATTAACGTAACGATGTTTGCGACAAAAATACTCGACTAGAATTCAGTTAAAATGGATATTTTATAAGATAATAAATCAAATTCAATAATAAGAATTAAAGATTGAAAAAAGATGGCTCTAAATCTGCTCTGAAATTTTGTTTACAAATAGAAATTGGGATTCTCTGCTTGTAGACAAAATTTCAGACCAATCGGCCAAGAGACGGCTGAGAAAATAAAGGTGGAATTAGGTTCGAGTTGGAATTTTCCCATATCAACTACCTAATAGATATTTTCAAGTAACCCGTCAAAATTTTCAGCCGGATGGTTCACTCGAGCGTCTCTTAAAAGAGTCGGAGATCCTTCGTCAAGCTTTCGGTCATCTTTTCGACTACGTCATCGTCAACAATGATATCGATGAGACGATCGCCCAATTGGAGCGTCTCGTCGAGAAGTTGAACGCCTCTCCGCAATGGTTGCCCGTTTCTTGGGTTTATTGAGTTAATTGAGTTAGTTTCAATTTCAATTTCAATTCTTTCGTTTTCTTCTCACTTCCACTCCATTGCCTCATCTATTTTTGCTTTTGTAGGTAAAGACTTTTGATTTTTCTGATCCACAACAGATTTTCTCTCTTATATCACGCACACTCATCTTCGGGTTTTAATTATGTAAATGTTTTTCTAATTTCTCTGAAAAGATTAGGCTTATTTGAATTTTGTTTAATTTTTAAAAATTGATTCATTCCTTTAAAGATGTTGGGTACTGTAAAGTGAAGAGGCAGATAGTGCTTGTTGGGAAAGTTTGAGGCATAACTTACCGTAAATACTGTAATAGTACCCCACCCCCGTCGTACAGTCGCGTAGTCGCGAAAGTTTTTTAGTATTTCATTTTTTTCAAAGCGCTCGTACTTTCAAGAGATGCGTCTTTGGTATCAAAAAATAGCTGAAATTCAGGGCTATTTTTTGATACCTAAACGCGCATTGTAGCATAAACCAGTGTCGAGAAAAACTCGTTCAAAGCTAGACTACGCAACACTCCACACCGTCATTATGGGGCTGGGGTACTATTAAAGTATTTACGGTATTGTAAAGTGTCAATATTCAATTTCAATACCGTAAGTTTCGATAAAAAAAGATTTAATTAAACCTAAATCCTTTTTTGACACATTTATGAGAGAAAAATTTTAGATTTAACAGTAATCCTTTCCTAAGCTTTACAGTAATCCTTTTCTCTTTTTTATTATCCTTTTTTCAATTTTTAATTATCCTTTTCTAAGCTTTACAGTAACCCAAACACCAAAAGCTTTAACATAAAACGGATCGGTTTTCTCAAAGTCCACTCGCAATCGAAAATTTCTCAACTTTGAGCCAACTAATCCTACAGTAATCCAATCATTTTCCCCGATTACCCCATCCACAAAAGTTCTCCCCTTTTGTGATACATTTTCTGCCATTCAAATTTCATGTTTGTGCTAAAGTTTGTGCCAATACTTTTGCAAGATTTTCTTTTTATTTTCGATGTGGCCTTATCTTGAAGAAACTCGTTAGCCAAATCATTTATTTTTTTTTCTTTGCGAATTGAGAAAGAGTTTTCAACGAGAATAAAGAGTTATGAAAGATTGATGAAGTGGTTAAAGCAAGATAAGTTTTACATGTTGATGAATAGTTAAAAGAATGAGACCGGGACATGAACTGGTCTACAGGGGGAGGGGCGGGATCGAACCCGGGTCTTTAACCCGGTCCCCGGTTCCAGAGACAGCCACACTGGCGTTGCGTCAGAATGAGGAGATGCGAACTTTCTCTAGTGATCACTTTTTCAAAAATTAGTCACCAAACAAGGTCTTGAAGTCACTATGAAGATGAAATCGCCTATCTTATTAATAATAAGCGATTGAAAGATAAGCGATTGAATTTTTCAGTATTATTATCAGACTATCAGGCTATGGAGTTCCAAAACTTGAAGATAGATAGTCTTAAGTTTAACCCATTCGAAGCTTCTGCAGCGAATAATCGCTGCAGCAAAAACTCAGGAACGGACCGCTGCAGCGCTAATTGAGCTATTTTCATTCAATTAATTGGTTTTTTTTTTGCTGTTTTTCAGCATTACATGTATATTCCAATTGTAGCAGATCTACAGAATTACGTGGGCAAAAAAGATGTTTCATATTTACCCGGAATCAATGCAGCCTCTGATTTTGCATTGAAATGTTCCATAACAGCTCTAATCTTATAAAGCCGATCTCCTGCAGAATCCAGTTCATTATCACAAAAACGCAGGTTTCGAAGAATAGATTCAAATTTTGCTCTTGACATAATGTGGGACCTGTGGGAAAATCCTCCTAATCCAGGGCTGCTACTCCAGTAGTCACGAATCCTCGGTAATTTGACGATTCCCATTTGAAGACACAGAGCCAGGAAGAGCTTGAAAGATTTTGCATCGAAATCCTGCCAGTTTGTTTTCCTTTTTCCATGTTTATTAGATTCGCCTACTAACAGATCGATTAATTTGTCGTCGATAAAATAAGAATAATAATCGATAGGATCTTGAAAAGTACTGAAGTCAAATCCAAATCGTTCTTCATCAAAAATAAATGGTGTAGGAGACTCTCTTAAATCTTTCCAACCATCTGGATAAAAAGAAAAAACGCTGCGGTTTCGAATGGGTTAAATGGTTTACAGTTTTCAGGCAAAGCCAAGCGCTTAAACAATTGGATTCTATTCAATTATATCTCCACAAAAGCTGCCGTGCATCAATTTAAATAAAGCCTCACAAAATTTGCATTTGAATTTGGTCTTCAGTTGGAATAAGTAAGATAACGGCATCACACGACACCACCTTTCGAGTTATCTGGATGAATTTATGGTTAGAAACGAAAGCTCGGAAAGCTTCTACTACAATTGGATTTTAGAGCAAATCCAAGCAACAATGACCCCCTTGTTCGTGTTGAATCGTGAAGAAATTAAGAGCTTAACTTACCCAAAATGATTCCTTCGTACGCTTGCTCTTCCTTCTTTCTGACTCGAGCGCTTTGTTCGTGAAATCCCTCCATCGTTTTCTTCTCTTCCTTTCCCCCACTACTCTCCACTTCTTCCCTTTTGGTGCTCAACCAATCTTCCTTTTCTCTCAACTCTCTTCAATTCCCCTTATCTCTCCTTTTCTTCCCACTTCCTTTCCATCTTTCTCTTCCTTTCCCTTCCTTTCCATCTTCCCCTTCCTTTCCATTGCTTCGTACGCTTGCTCTTCCTTCTTTCTGACTCGAGCCCTTTGTCCGTGAATTCTCTCCATCGTATTCCTCTCTTCCTTTTCCCTTCCTTTCTCTCCTTTCCTCTTCCCCCACTCCCCTCCACTTCTTCCCTTTTGGCGCTCACCCAATCTTCCTTTTCTCTCAACTCTCTTCAATTCCCCTTATCTCTCCTTTTCTTCCCACTTCCTTTCCATCTTTCCCTTCCTTTCCCTTCCTTTCCATCTTCCCCTTCCTTTCTCTCCGATCATTCATTTTATCGATCTTTGTGAGGTCTATACTTAGCATTACGCTGGCCGTTAAGTCTTTTCGCTTTTTTTTGTATACTTCCGTTTAGAAAAGGTTAATGCACCGATTAGCATACATACGATTAGCATTTATTTCTTTAGGAAGGTTAATAAAAAGGTTAGGTTTTTCTTTTTCTATAAAAGAACATTGAATTATTATGAAAATGTTAGGTTTTTGAGTTTTTTAGAGGCGCAAAGTCGGGTAGTCAAGAATGGCAACGACTCAATTACGCGATTTAGACACTTTGATCCATGAAAACCTATCTTCGTGTCAATAGAAAAAAGACAGAGCGTCAAAAAGTTAGATTTATATAGCCAAATTTTCACAACGATCTGTTCAGTCAATCTGTTTGTAGAGTTTTTCAAAGGATTTTGCCCAAAGCTCGTTTTTACACTCGAATTTGCTTCGAAACAAACCCAAATTTGCTGGAAAAAGGTAGGAAAATGAGCGATAAACATTTTCTATTTGAAGCAAACCGTAGGTCAATTGGTGAGTTTATCATTTCGAAATGAAAGTACGAAAAAAAGAGATTTCTTTGCCAAAGTTAGAATTCGATTTTCGTGCGGTTTAAAGGGACTGGCGCAAAAGCGACGCGACGCGTTTTCTAAAGCGTGGATGCGCTACCGTAACCCGCACAAAAATTCTGGAACTTGACCCAAAATCAATATTTTTCCACGAAAACTTGCACATAGGGGTTTTTGACTATGCTGAATCGATTAGTAATACTTTTATAACTTTTTGTTTTATTAGTTTTATTAATTAATAGGCTTTTTAGTAAAAACTCGAATACGGGCAATTTGTCGAAAAATAGGTGCGCTAAGCTGTCAGGGAGTTCTTTTATACACAACAGTTTTGTTATTGTTGTTTCTTGTTATTGGATGTTGTTAAAATAAAACATAAAATTAATAAAAAGGTTATAAAAGTATTACTAAAAAGTTATAAGTAGGTTAGGACCTGTTTCTCAGCAAATTGCCTGTATTCGAGTTCGAGTTTTTACTAAAAAGTCTATTAATTAAAATTAATAAAACAAAAAGTTATAAAAGTATTACTAATCGATTCTGCATAGTCAAAACCCCTGTGTGCAAGTTTTCGTGGCAAGATATTGATTTTGGGTCAAGTTCCAGACTGCCCCCTACCTACTCTAGCCCTGGTTTTTCTTCGTGGGCTTGTGTCTAATTATTTAAAAAAGGATTAGTGAGTAAAAAGGTATTAGGTAAGGCTAAATAGTTATTAACTCCATTATTAACTGATACAACATAGACTAGCTCCTCTATAGCAAGCTTAAGACTTGCAACGTTTCTGTTTTTTGTAATATTATTTATTTTTTGTTAGAGATTTAAATGCCCACTTTCAGTAGCAAAAGCAAATCCCGTTGCAAGTTTCTCTCTCTACAAAAGTTCTTGTTTTTTTTGTAAAGTTTCAATTTGCCATGGAATTGTTTTTCTGATACTATGTTGATCTATCTATTTCCAGAATTTCGAACAATGTTAGTCGCTTGGTATTGTTCGATTTGCTGCAAGAAAGTCACGTTCTCGGGAGTGTACGCTCCAAAAAGTGATGCGGAGATGGACGAATTCGAGACTTGTTTGAGAGCATCTGGGGTGAGTATTTTTGGTATTTTAGTAGTAAAATATTTTTGGCTGGTTTAGAGTTTTCAGGTATTCCGCAACGATGATTAGATTTAGCTTTAAGCAGAATACCCAATTTTTTAAAGAGAGTGGAATGCCCAATTTGTCTGCTGACTACTTTTATTTTGAATGAATAAATCTCATACATTTTCAGTTGAGTGAAAGCGTGATCGAATACGTTCGAATGAAGAGGAGAACCCTGTCGAAAGTTCGCGTTTGCACATGGCATGTGCCGACCTACAGCAAGCTGGCCGAACCTCAATGTAAAGCGGTGGGTCTTTGTACTTTGTACTTTGGTGTACTTTGGTGGTTGGGAGGGACCACTTTTATCCGGGCTTAGTTGGATCTAATGTTTTGAATGGTTCTATTGATACCTTTTATATATTCTAGGGTAATCAAATATGCTTAATAGATTAGTGACTATTTTAGCAAGCTATTGGCAATTCTAGCCTAATCTCATGTACTCTAACCACCAAACGCTACCTCAAAGCTGTTTACACTTGAATAAAAGCGGCAATATGAAATAAAAGCGGCAATATGAAACTTGAAACATGTTGTAAATGCTCTTTTAGAGCTTATCTAAGCCTATATAAGCCTAAATGATTATCCTAGAATAAGTAGATAAAAGGTATCAATACAACCATCAATATCAATACAACCACTCAAAACATTAGATCCAACTAAGCCAGGATAAAAGTGGCCCCTCCAACCACTAAAGTACCAAAATGAGTCTTAAAATAAAGCTTAAACTTACGCTAAAATTTTAGAGAAGTCAAAATATCCTCCCGGAATTTGTGGAAAATCCAAACAGTCCAACGCAAATCGCCGAAACGTTCCGGAAGCTCGCCGATAAGATTTGTAAAGATGAAAATGAATTGGTGAGTTAAAAGTTATGAAGAATATCTTAATCAGTTGAAATAGAAGCAAAATTTGTTACTGAAATCATATTTTAGTCGAACATTCCTTCCCTGACGGGATTGCCGAAGGACGAGAGCCCGTCGGAGTGCTCGAATCTGATCTTTGGAGACGATCAAAATCTTTACGAAGGCACTAAAAACGTTGGGGTTCCGCTGTTCTCAAAGAAACGGGTAAATAAATTATGTACAGGGTGCTCAAAAAGTTCCCGCACAACTTTTTGTAAAAGCAGCTAGCAAATGTTTAACTTATTTCAAAAGTGCTAGGTGTTATAGAGATTTGAATCTTGGCTAAATTTACATACCAAAAGCTTTCGAATTGGATTCATCCAACTCATGAGACAAGTTTTTGAGTGAGCACTACTCGGTCTCTTTCCGGCACGCTGCCATTTTTGACGATTTTTGTTAAGAAAGGCTTCCCCAAAACAATTTTGCATTATTCTTGTACAAAAAATTAAGTTCAATGAATTTATAGAACTAGAGCAGCAAATACATCAAAAGCTGGATGCAAATTGAATATCAAAACGCTCAATTTTCGTTTTTTTTTCTTGAGCTTTAAAATGAACTTTGAAATTTTTGATTACCTTGAATTAGGGTGTAAACTAAGTCTCGACCCTTTCTTAAATTGGTAATATTTCAACGCAGAATCAATATATTTGAATGAAATTTTAAACGGATTATTCTCAAAAACTTGCAAGCTTAATGCCGAAATTATGAAGCTATTTGGCGATTAGCGACCAAATCATAACAAAATACCTGGTGTTACTGCCTATTTTTGACCTTTTCCACACAAAATAAGTTCACTCAAAAATATTTAGTTAGAGATTCAGGTCAATTTTTTTTTATAAATGAATGTTTTCAGAACTGTCGTGTAATTCATTTGGTAGAAACTTAGGCAGAATAATGTAGTAGCTAAATAGCAATACAAATTTTCAGCGATTTCGTGGGACAGCTAGATAAAGTTGAGCCCTCTTGAAAAATAAAATTGACTTTTCTAAGAGTTTTGAAACTTTTTCAGAAAATAGCTACATTATTCTAGTTTTAAATGTAGTAGAACAAAATTTGTATTGTTTCCTCATGTGCTTGTATTTTTGAATTTAGTACCGGAGGTTAAAAATTGCCCTCGCGCCGTCTTTTTGCTATAACTTGGTCGCTAGATAAAGTTTAGCCCTCTTGAAAAATAAAATAGACTTTTCTAAGAGTTTTGAAACGAATGGACGAATAACTTGATAATTTTGGCGTTAAGCTTGTAAGTTTTTGAGAGTAAAATTTCATTCAAGAATTCAAGTTAAATTTCATTCAAATATATTGGTTCTACGCTGAGATATTGGCAATTTAAGAATTTAAGCAATTTAAGACTTAGCTTAGGGCCTAATAGTTATAAATCCAAAGAATAAAGCCAACTTTTATTCTCTGACTAGGCCTACTGTAAGATCCACTAAACACTTCTGGCACTCAGGTCATATTTACAAAAAAGTGAACCCCCGGGTAGCTAACTCATTGTCGGGTCTTTCTACAAATATCTTGCATAGTTCAAGCTTGAATTGTGTAAAATATCATATGATATGACTCATTGGTTAAAAACCAATTTTCTTTTGGAGTAACGGACGTTGGCTCATGAGCCCATGAGCATGAACATTGCCCGAAAACAGTTCTTTTATTGTAGAAAGCCGTCAAGCGAAGCCTCGACGAGGAGTCTCTGGAAATCGAGGATTTGGTCGAGAATCGCAGACAACGACTGAAGAATTCGTCTTCTTCACAAAGCCATCGAGTTCCCATCCTTACAAGTCAAAGCAAACGGGTCTCCTCGCAAACGCCATCAACGAGCGGTTTAGAAAGTTCGAATGTATGTTTCTAATGAATAATCAATGTGTAAACCGTAGAGTTTTTTTGAATCCCATTTTAGTGGTGTTTTTAGTGGTGTTCATTGGAGGATTTGCTTGACTTTCATTCTTCGATCACGCAGATCAATTCACAAATCGTTCAAGTGCCGGAAGTCGAAGTTCAGCAACAATCCGAAACGCTATCCTTGATAAAAGTGCGTAAGATCAATAAAATGAACTCAAGAATTTTTTAGGGTTCCTATTTCTTGATTTCTGGTGAAATGCTATTGGAGTTTCTGCAAAATTGTCGATGTGAGGTGGGGCTAATTTTCCGTTTAAAAATTAGATCATTAATCAAGACTATTAGACTATTAGATCAATAATCAAGTAGAAAAGCTGTTTTAAGTCATTCAATCGTTCTAATCTGTTGAAAAAAAATCCTATTTTCTTCTAGGAAAATCTTTCCGAGCGTCTCGTTGATGTACCCAAAGGAAATTTCCCATTTGTGCACTCAACATGTCCATGTGGTGGAATGCAAGTTTATCGAGGATTGCCAAAACTATAGCAATTTTGTATCACACTATAATACGGGTATATTTCCAAAAACGGTTTTTCTTTTATTTGAAATTAAAGATTGGCTACTGTGATAAACGTTCAAAAAAAAACGAAAATCGAATGAGTTTTACATTTTTTTGAAGCACGTAACACTGAAAACATTGGAGTAAACAAAGCAATTGAGGCATTCAAAACTTGGAAAATGTATTTCTGTTGTGAATGGGAATGTTAAAGATAGTTAGGTCAGGTCGGATCACAAATGAATTTTAGACTACTCTTTATTCTCGATCAGGGATGTTCCAGCTGTAAGCCACTTGTAAGAATTCGAGTCCTAAATGGTAGACCCGATAAAATGAATAGTGTCAATCGATTCGCCGATCCCGAAAACAAATTTACAGCTGAATATCTTCTTTTTGTATCATCAACAAAGCGAAGAGAAGTCCTTATAAATGACTGGCGAAATGTTCTTTGTGCGGCCGCGTAATCGCTCGCGATCTGGCAAATCGCCCCGGTAGAAGTTGCTTCGTTTTTGGAATTTGTAATCGATGCGTCAAAATCGTTTAATCTAAATCCGGATCTTCTTCTGCTCAAATTCTTGTTTATCCGGATCTTCGTAATCGCTCGCGATTTGGCAAATACCCTCGTTATAACCGGCTACCCTTTCGGGCTTCCCTAATCGGTGCGTCTAAATCGTCTGATTTAAATCCGTGCGTCATTATCCTCAAATTTTTGGTTTTAGTGAGAATCGGTCCCAATTCGGACCTCTTCTTTAATTCAGATTTCGATTTTATAACAGTTTTTGTCTACTTGCGAGTGCTCTATGTTTTTCGATAAATCCCGATATAAACTTTATTCACTAAACACAACAAATTAAGTCAATCGCCGATATGATCGATAAACCAAGAGAGAGTAATTGAATTGAAGAGGAGATCTTTTAAAATGGAATTAATTAAAACAGAAAACTTTTTTTTTAACCTGAACAATTTCAACCTAATAACCAGGACTTTTTTCTTTTGCGTTGTATCACAATTTAATAAAACCCACGCGCGAATGAAACGATGAAAAGACAAGGGAACTTTTTTTGGCACAAACAAGAAATTTTTGGATAAATGTGACCGTGGTTTAAACTTGAGTGAGGAAAACGTCCAATTTCTCTAACATTTGCTTCTCCAAATCTTCGAACACCTGAAAAGCAATAGTATATGGATTCATTGCGTAATTTGGGAATAGTGATTTGTGATTTGAGAACCTCTTAAGGTAATTGTTGAATCGAAAGCGAATAGAGCTATTTTAGTTGGATGTTTTTATTTCTCACAAACCTGCATCATCGCCAATCGCAATCCTTTCTCGAGATCTCCGTCTTTACTCAACAGTTTCAGCGTCACGATCTTGTACGTCTCACAGTCGTTTTTAAACGCCTAAAATATAGTATTGCACTTTTTAGTCCATTTTGGAGTCCATAGAGTACTTTAAGTCCATTTTGGCACTATTGTATGTGAATTTTACCTACGAATCCGATCCGATCTAGCGTCCGAATCCGGTTCGGACCTCCGAATTCGATCTAGCGTCCGGATCAGATCCGGACGTCCGAATCCTATCTAGCATCCGGATCGGATCCGGGGCTCCGAATCCTATCTAGCATCCGGATCGGATCCGGGGCTCCGAATCCTATCTAGCATCCGGATCGGATCCGGGGCTCCGAATTCGATCTAGCATCCGGATCAGATCTGGATGTCCGAATCCTATCTAGCGTCCGGATCGGATCCGGGGCTCCGAATTCGATCTAAACTTAATTGTTTTGCCAACGGCAATCTAGCCTATTTAGATTCTAGGTTAGTTATTTCTTAACAATTTCTTTTAAATTTAATATAATTTGGTAGAAAATTCAATGCTTCATCGAATGATATCAAAATCATAAGAATTTGTTTGAAAATAATTAACTTAGAGCCAAAATAGGTTGGGTTGCCGTTGACAAAGCAATTAAGTTTAAATCGGGCTCGGGCATTCGGATTCGACGTAGATCGCCTTCGAACGTAACCGAGAACATTCAGTTAGCAAGTCTTAGTACTCTGAATACTCTGAATTCACCTTTTCAAGTTGTTTCTTCTTCAGCTCGACTTTATCCCGTTGAAGTGTGGTGAGTGAGGCCAATTTCTGTTCCCTTTCAAATGATTTCATCTCCTCATTTTCATCATTGTCTTCCTCCATTGTCGACAATGAGGAGAGCTTGAGAGTTCCTGAAATTTGTGCACTTATTATCGTTTTTGTTGTTGTTGTGTTGTTGTTATGTCGTTGTTATGTTATATATGTTATCGCGTACTTTGTGTTCAACCATCAAAAACGCATTCTTTCTGACGCACTACTCAGTGAATTGTTTAAAAGAGAAGAGTCTTCATACTCAGATTCTCTGAGGGGGGTCAAGTAAGTCTCTGAGGAGGCGTAGACACTTGTCTCGACTTTGACCCTAATTTTCTCTATGTTTTTACACTAAGGTGTATTAAATAAATTGTGGTTTTCTATAACGAAATTTCATAAGGAACATTTTAAGACCAACCACAAGTCGATTCGACAATTAGAAGTCGAGATATGGAGGAAAAGAGAAGAGTCGTCAAACTTCGACTCTCTACCCCCCTAGACAAATCTCTAGGGGGATAGACAAATCTCTAGGGGCCGGGGGTAGACACTTATCTCGACTTTGACCCTAATTTTCTCTACGCATAGCCAGTTTACATTTTTGTGTACGAAGATATGTCTACATGTCACTTTTGTCTACATTATAAAAACTCCATTTATCTCGACTTTGATCTTAATTTTCTCTATGTTTTTATTGGTTAAGTCTACAAAACAAATTATAGATTTCTTTAATCAAATTTTATGTAGATTCTAATCAAAGTAACCCTGAGTTGATTCGACTTTTAGATCTTGAGTTATAGACCATTTAAGTTGATCGACCCTTCCAAATAGATAGTCCAACTTTGACCCTAATTTTCTCTATGTTTTTATATTAAAGTTGACTAAGTAAGTTATGGTTTTCTATAACGAAATTTCATAACGAACATTTTAAGACCAACCACAAGTCGATTCGACAATTAGAAGTCGAGATATGGAGGAAAAGAGAAGAGTCGTCAAACTTCGACTCTCTACCCCCTCTAGACAAATCTCTAGGTAGACACTTATCTCGACTTTGACCCTAATTTTCTCTACGCATAGTCAGTTTACATTTTTGTGTACGAAAATATGTCTACATGTCATTTTTGTCTACAGTATAGAAAGCAAACTCTATTTTTCTCCAAGCTCCAAACTCCAAGCTCCATTTTTCCCATTTCCTTACCTGATTCCTCTTCCTCTGGTGGCTCATACTTGATCTGTTCGATGATAATCGTCTGAAATTCTTTCACTCCTTCCAAAAGAGTCGCCGTGTTCGGGTACTTGTCGTCTTTCATTACCGGTTTCACTTCCTGAAATTCCTGAAATCGGTTCTTTATTCGGAAAGTCTATTGCATTCTATTTTAAACAAGAATTATAGAAAAACATGTCAAATAAAGTTCCACAACCCAAAATAAAAACTTAATATACCGTAATTATTCTAATAGAAGCCCCCCTCACCCCGGTACAGTCGCTCTTTACAAAGTCATTCTTTTCTCAGCCCCCAGATTTTCCTTAATTATCTTTTTAGTACAAAAAAAATACTAGATTTCAAGGGCTATCATTTGAAACCCAAGCGCACATTGTAGCATAAAGCAGTTTGGAGAACAGAGCGTTTAAAGTTAGACTACACCGCAATACCCCAGGAGTGTTTCTATTGGAATAATTAGCTGAAACTAACCGAAGCTCGTTTCTGCAATTGTCTTGGCTGAAAAGCGGGGCTTGGAGCAACTGGAGTGATTGGAGTGGAGATCGGTGTCGAGAAATTGCTTGCGATTTGTATCTCGTTTCTCTTAGTAACAGTCGGGGTTTGTTGTTGAGGAGTGGAGGGAAGAGAGGGCGCGTCGCGTGTCGCCTTGCTTGTCGGCTGTGGAGGAGTTTGGATGACTCTTGGAGATGGTGGTACAGGCTTTGGTGGAATTGGAAGAACTTTTGGTGGAGGTGGTGGCGGAGAAGGGGAACGTGGAGGGATCTCGACCAATTTCTGTGAAGCGCTCACATAGCCTCCATTGAGTGGTCGCTCGCCTATGGGCTGAAATAGAAGATGACTTTTTAAAAAGCATTTTAAGCTTCTCCTAGCAAAAATCTATCCAGCCTGCAATGCTAAATTCTTTTCTTGAATCCCTGAGCATTAGAATTCAATGAAAGAATTCTGAGAAAGCAATCAATGCCTCTTTCCTGGACAGTGATAAGGTTTCTTGTGAAAGCACTGAGCAATAACACTTTTGACCCGATCACAAGAATGCTAAGCTGATAGTGGAACAAGCAAAGGATAGCCAAGTATAGCTAAGTATAGCCAAGTATAGCTAAGTATTAGATTTTACCTTGAATCGTGGATTGATCGTGATGACTTGTGGCTCGGCAGGAGCTGGCGCAGGAGCTCGCACAGGAGCTGGCGCAGGAGCTAGCGCAGGAGCTGGCGCAGGTGGTGTAGGGATATCTGAAAGTTTAGTGTTGAAAACAATGGTCGGACTTGGGAATTTTTCTTAGTTTATCAACCTCCTTTGCATATTTGTTTTTGAAAAGTCCTGTCTTTAGACTTTCCTTTAGAACTTTAGAATTAGACTGTCCAGGAAATCTTTTCATTCCTTTTCTTAATCCTGTTGCAAATAACAAATTCATCAATTAACCCATAGTCATTTTAATGTTCTTTTGTAGAAAAATAATTGGCATTTCAAATGAAAAAAATCGTAGCTTAATTGCATTTGTTGCATTGCATTTGTTGCATTGCATTTGTTGTTTTAAATGAAAGTACGAAAAGAAACAAAAAGACTTTCTAAATAGCTCAATAGATCGTGTTTAAAACTATCTTTAAAACGATCTTTAAAACTCTTTAAAACTCTTTAAAACTATCCGACTTTCTAATAGATGGATGTTTAAAACTTGTTTAAAACAAATTGTATCTAAAACACAGACCCATCTCCTCCTCTTTCGCGGGCGGAGTGCTCGGCTTGCGAATGACTTTCTTTGGCGGTTGATCCTGCAAAGATTCGTGAATTATTTTGATAAGAATTCTTCTCCTCACTCAAGAAAGCAGTAACACAATTGCACATGAAATTCTTTTCTAACTTTTACTACCATTCTAGCTCTTACTACTAGTAGATGTGAGCTTTAAAAAGTCTCAGTGAGCTTGATTCTAATGTAATGACTGTATAGAGTCCTTCCAAAAAGTCAAAACCGAGAATCGTGAAGCTAATTGCAAGCTAATGACAAGTAAAGTCAAAAAACCAAAGCGAATTTTGGCCGAATTTGGTTAGATAGGCTAACTTGGCTGAGAAACTCAAGTCTAGAAACAGCCTTGAGCTTTTCTAACTGTTGCTGTTAAAAGAGCTTCTCTAACTTTTGCTGTTAAAAGAGCTTCTCTAACTGTTGCTGTTAAAAGAGCTTCTCTAACTGTTGCTGTTAAAAGAGCTTCTCTAACTTTTGCTGTTAAAATCTCCCTCAAACCCACCCCTTCAAGTCCAAAGCTGATCGTGGTGTTGTGTACCTCTTTGCCGGCTTGTGATTGAACAGGCGGTGGAGGCATTGGTGGAAGTGGGACACTTGATGGCACCTTGATCGAGATTTGAATCCCATCCTTCTCGTTGGGAGCCGCCTTAAAAGGTTTTACGTGAATTTGCTGTTAAGTAGAGTGTAATCGAGAGTAATCGCTTCAGAGTAATCGCTTTGTAAAGCGTTCGCCAAAGGGCCGAACAAGTTCACCGGTTGGCCGAGTGGTTTGCACGCTTGTCTCTAAAGCGAGTGGCCGTTAGGCGAACGGGGGTTCGAACCCCGGTCGATCCGTTTTCATAAAAATTTTTAGTTCTTTCGCTTCAGAAAATTTTAGGTAACAGTTAGTAAAATTATTAGCTTTTAAAAGTATAGAAAAGAATAAACTGCTTATTTGAACAATTGAAAGCGACAAAACAAGTGTTTGTTGTTTTCGTTTGCTTAGGAAATGGCCCACTTATACAAAAAGAGGATAACTAATACACAAACCTTCACTTCTCTCACACGTAGCGGTGAATCGGATCGATCATGACTCACAACTAAAGCCTCTTTTTGTGGAGATCGAGCTGGGCTTCTTGGTTGACGAGGGGATCGACTTCCTTCTGAAAATAATTCATTGATAAATTTGAAATTGTTGGCAAGTCATGACAAAATTCTTACTTCCTGATTCCGATCGCAGCTCACCATCAGAAGCGCTTGAGAGTGTAGCGGAACGGCGCTTCTTTCTGAAAACATTTGAATCAATCAGTTGAATCAATCAGTTGAATCAATCATTTCTTAAACAAATCACTACTTTGTCTATCATTTACATCTCAAAAACTGACTCTTTCTTTGTCTTCTTCTGTTTTTTTCTCCTTTTTGATTCGTCTTGGCTCTGAATCACTCCTCTCTTCGCTTGAATCACGTTTCTTTGAGCCGGCACTTTCACGAGATGATGAACGACGAGAAGCGGAACGGGAACGCCTCGATGAGCCACTAAAAACGTACTTTAATCTCTAGATTCTTAGTTCTTAATCTTTAATCACTAGATTCTCTACTCTGTAGATAAATAGCTGTAAATAGACCTGCTTAACGAGTCCGGGCAAAATTTTCAGACAGTCTGCCTAGCTCTTCGATTTTTTTACTACCCAAAGCTCCTACGGACATGAAACCTAGTTCTCCCGAAAGCCTTGATTCTAGGCTTCATTTTGATACTAAACATGACTAGGTTCTGTTTTACCATTCTTTAGATTTCGATCAATTTTTCGCCGGACTCGATAAGCTTAACGAGTCCAGAAAAATGATCTAAAATGATCGAAATCTAAAGAATGGCAAAACAGAGCCTAGCCATGTTTAGTATCAAAATGAAGCCTAGAATCAGGGCTTGCGGGGGAACTAAGTTTCTTGTCCGTAGGAGCTTTGGGTAGTAAAAAATCGAAGAGCGAGGCAGGCTGTCTGAAGCTTTTGGCCGGACTCGTTAAGCAGATCTAGCTGTGAACGTCAAGATCAATTCAATGTCAATTCTACAACAGCATTCCCATTCTAGTTCAGAGTTTTGTACTTGTACTATTATTTAGTAATATACCTAATCAATTCTTAAAGCTTTTAGCTTTTAAAATCCACCTGCCAGAACGAGATCTCGAGCGTGAACGGGATGACTCATCGGATGAGTGACGTCGCTTTCTCTCGTAGTAGCTTCTAGAAAGATGACTTTGAAATCGAATTCTTTTTAGAAAGCTAATAAGCTTCAATTTAACTGATTTTATTCTCTCTTAACACATTCGCGACGAGGCGTTTTTTTTGCGTTACTGCCCCAGTGGACGAGGGGTGTCTCGCAAAGCTATTAGCCCCGAAATACACCTGCTATATGTAAAATTTCATGCTGAATCCGAATCTCTAATCAGATTTTGAAAATATTGCTGCCTCAAAAAGAACTAATCGAATCTTTTTACATTTTGAAATTATCTTAAAAAGTTGAGAAGCTATAGCGCGTCAAAAATTTGGTCCACCGGTGAACCGAATCATCCCAGGGGCCAGACGGCCTTCTTCCACCGGTGGACCGAACCGTCCCAGGGGCCAGACGGCCTTCGTCTACCGGTGGACCGAATCATCCCAGGGGCCAGACGGCCTTCGTTCACCGGTGGACCGAACCGTCCCAGGGGCCACACGGCCTTCTTCCACCGGTGAACCGAACCGTCCCAGGGGCCACACGGCCTTCTTCCACCGGTGAACCGAACCGTCCCAGGGGCCACACGGCCTTCTTCCACCGGTGAACCGAACCGTCCCAGGGGCCACACGGCCTTCTTCCACCGGTGAACCGAACCGTCCCAGGGACCAGACGGCCTTCTTCCACCGGTGGACCGAATCGTCCCGAACGTGTTAAAAACCAAACCCACCCTCTATCGTATCTCCCCGCATTCGGTCGATACATATTCCCGCGTCGTCCACGATTCGCCAAAGCGGCTAAAAAGACAATCTATCCTCGATATTTAGAGATTTTATCAAAAAAGCTTGCCGACAATTTAAGGATAAGCATAGCCGTTGTGAGAATATCGAATCGAGAATTGAATTTTTTGTTTCATTTATTTTCTTACCGCCTCCTCTCACACCTTGTTGTGCAGCTTGGTATGAAGCGAAACGGCGAATATCACGAAACCATGTCAATTCACACGGATATCCCAAAACATCCGCATCTTTGTATCTGAAAAGTTTCGTTGTTGAAAAATGGGCTTTCGAAAACGATTTGATTGGGTTCCCTTGTTCACTCTAATACCCATTAGGCAAAGTTTGAATTTGCCATTGACAATCGAACTTTGAGCTCAAATATCTCGGCTTTCGGCTGTTCAATTTAAATATTCTTGATATCATTGGATGCGCCAAGTCGTTCTCTGTCGATTGGTACAAAAATGATTTCAATTGGACCACACAACACCAAGAAATTTGAGCTCAAAGTTGGCCTGCCAATGGCAAAGGGGCCGGGCGCGTATCAAAGCTTCGATAACCGGAATTTCACTCTTGGGTAGGAAAAGTGAGTTGCTAGAATGCAGAAAGTGACCCGTTCTCAAGCATTATATAAAAAAATTGTGGTTTTCATGTGGAAAAATACATTTCAAATCGCATTCCCGACCTATTCATGCACTCCTTCGCATGCTCTCTCGACTCGAAACGCACGGCGACGAAAAGTCGCGAGCGATCGGCTGAAACCTTCGTAAAATCGAACGAGCATGGGCCAATTCTTTCATCGAAATACTCCCTGAAAAGAAAAAAGACTTTCGCTATAGGAAACTCGAAGACTCTAGAAAACTCGAAGACTCTAGGAAAAGTTTAAGAATGATTATGATTAGATTTTTGTCTCCAGAAACCTGCTCGACTCACCGATTTCCTCCAAGGCTTTCGTAAGGACAAATTAAGGATCAGAGAGAGAGAAAATTCCATGAATTTGATCATTACGGTATTTGATCATTACGGTTTTTTTAAAAAAAAGAATTTGAAGTTCCCGAGAATGTTTTCTATTCCCGAGAATGTTTCCGAGAATGTTTTCTATTCCCGAGAGAATGTTTTATGAAGTCGATCATGAGAGAAATCGTCAGCCGTCAGCCGTCAGCCGGCATCGATTCGATCAAAGTTTAGGCACATTTTTTTAGGAGAGAGAGAAGAAACTTTTAACAACACACTGAATTGACACACATTACATTGGAAAGACAAAACTCAAGTTATTTTCTTTCTTCGCTCTGTCAGGGTGTGGATAAGCTGGGTCAATCTAGGTCAGTAACCAACTCTAAGCCATAGAGCTACGTTTACAAGTAGCTTCAGCTCATACAAGTAGCTTCAGCTCTTCTAGCTTCAGCTCTTACAAGTAGCTTCAGCTCTTCTAGCCCCAGCTCTGTTTTAAAGTCATAAAACTATCAGCAAGCCATTTTCTGTTCTTGTTTACAGCTCTGACAAGTGATTCAACCAAAAATCAGTGTTGATCTGTCATTTTTTTATCTATTCTAAGTACATCATTGTCATTATTCGTTAGAATCGAGTCTACAAACTTAATCGTCAAGTCTAGAATATAAAACTGAAACAAGTTTGAGTTAAATATTTGAAATTTGGTCGATCTGGAGGTCAGTACAGTTGCTTAGCAATTTGGAGATTCTAGGCTTAAAAAATCAAATCAAAAGCTGGATATTAAGCTGGATGACAAGTTGGAGATCAAGCTGGATATCAAGCTGGAGATCAAGCTGGAGATCAAGCTGGATACCAAGCTAGATACCAAGCTGGATAACAAGCTGGAGATCAAGCTGGAGATCTAGCTGGAGATCAAGCTGGATATCAAGCTAGATACCAAGCTGGATATCCTGCTGGATACCAAGCTAGAGATCAAGCTGGATAACAAGCTGGAGATCAAGCTAGAGATCAAGCTGGATATTAAGCTAGATACCAAGCTGGATATTAAGCTAGATACCAAGCTGGATATCCTGCTGGATACCAAGCTAGAGATCAAGCTGGATACCAAGCTGGATATCAAGCTGGCTATCGAACTGGAGATCAAACTGGAGATCAAACTGGATATCAAGCTGGATAGCCTGTCTGTTCCGTTACCGGGAAACTCTGACATAGTATTCCCACGGAGTTTCTTCTTTCCTGTGGAGAGTTTCCGTCGAAAACCGGAAACTTTCCATAGAAATCTTCCAAAAAGCCTTTCTGGCGCAAGTTTTGAATACTTTGAATACTCCGTGGGAATACTCCGTGGGAATACTTTGTACGGGAAAAGCACGCTCAGCGCATACTCGATCATTCCGCGATTTGTCATTCAAAGATTCCAGTCGGAATTTTCCGGGAACGGACTCAGGTCCAAAAGCAACACTGAACTAGGTTGAGAATTCATTAAACCTCATTAAACCTCATTAAACACCTCATTAAACATTAACTAGGCTCACGAAACCGAGCTTAAACCACACCCAAGACTTAACTCTGAAATAGCTTTACTTTTCTTTCATTCTTTTCCTTTCAAACACCCGCAACTCACTTCACTTCATCGGTGGGCATATTCCCGGGCAATCCTCTAATGAAGACGGTGTGCTTTGACTCGGGCACATCTTCCTCATTGATGCGATGATGGCTCGGCCGATTGTACCCACCACTCCCACCACCACCACTATTCCCATATCCGCCTTGATAGCCGTTATCGTAATACGACGACATAGAGAAAGCAAGATCTGAAGATGATTAAAAGATGATTAAAAAAGAAATAAAGACTATCTAAAGAGCTATCAATGGCTATTTTCGAAACTGTTATCAGAGAAAGTGATCGGAATTTCAGAATTCTCCAATTCTCCAATTCTCCAATTCTCCAATTCTCCAATTTCTCATCATTTACCAAATCTTTCTTTCTTGATCTTCAAGCTTTTTGCTAGAGATTCGAAAATGTCGAACAAAGAAAACAAGAGCTTTTCCGCTAAATCACACAGGGTTTATGAGTGAATTTAAGAATTGGCGATAAGAATTGAAATTTTCGAAGAAAATTCACTCAATAGTTGTACAAAATAGACTAAAAATAGAGTAAAAATAGAGTAAAAATAGGGTACAAATATTCAGTGGATGGTAGGGTTTTTGATAAAATATTCGGCAGTTGATTGCGAGGAGAAGGTGAAAAGAGAGAATGGCACAAGGGAATGGGCAAAAACATGGAAGAAAACGAAAGAAAAAAAGAAAAGAAGAGAAAGGAAAGGTCGGCAAGAATCGATTGAAAAAAATGAGGGAAATGCATGGGGAAAAGAGGAGATTTTAGAGAAAACGACACTTTTTCCGAGTGTAGTTTGTAATTTTTTAAGTCTTTTTTTCGTTTTCTGACATCTTCAAAAAGGCCTAAGTGACTATGGGAACGAGATTTTCGAGGCAATTAGCTGGGCTTGGGCAATTGGAAATTGGGAAATTGTTGAGCAGATTTTTTGTTGTGATACAGGTGAAAGTTAAAGGGTGAAACGAGCACTATACAGTTATAATCGATAGACAAAAGAGTCAGCCAAGAAAGAAAAGCCAAGAAAAGGCCAAGAAAAGACCAAGAAAAGCCAAGAAAAGACTACCCCAAATTGAGTCCAGAGAAATTGAGATGAGAAAGCCCAATTGAGAAAGTCGGCTTCACACATAAAACTCTCAGCCATGAATAGAAATTTGTCTCAGTAGTCTCAGTGAGTCGACGACTCAAACATTCACACACAATCAATTGAACGTCTCTGGAGAGCGGTGGAGAAATAAAAAGCACCGCGGAAGAACTGTTCATCTTTTGCTACCTAGCGGAGTCTATGGTTCAGAAGTTCCTCCATCGCATTGCTCGATCGCACGATCCTCCATAGCATTCCTCGATCACACGATCCTCCATCACATTGCTCGTTTGCAGGATCCTCCATCCCCTTGCTCGATCACACGATCCTCCATAGCATTCCTCGATCACACGACCCTCCATCACATTCCTCGATCTCACGATCCTCCATCACATTCCTCGATCGCACGATTCTCCATCGCATTGCTCGATTGCACGATCCTCCATCGCATTTCTCGATCACACGATCCTCCATAGCATTCCTCGATCACACGATCCTCCATCGCATTCCTCGATCGCACGATCCTCCATCGCATTGCCTCCACTTTGCTTCCCGATTGTTTCAATGATTACCCATTGATCATGTGTTTTTTATCCATCATGATTGAAGGTTAATGTAAATTTTTGGGGATAACCGTATTGATGTACATGGGCATAATTGTTTGGGATGGGAGGCCGGAAAACGTCTACAAAATTGGCTATAAATTGAGAGATTTAACAAAAAAATATAAAAATATCTGAAATCTTTAGTTTGCAGCCTTGGTTTAATGAAAGTAAAGGTTTTGAACAAACGCTGTCTTCAAGACAATTAGATGAGATCGGGTAATTCAACTGATGGAATTGAACTGGTGGAATTGAACTGGTTATTGAACTTTCTAGTGGGCTTAGCAAAAGAACTTTCTGTTCTTTATGTTCTTTATGTTCTTTATGAACTTTACGTTATGTTTAGGTCAAAAATAGGTCTTTATTTCAAAGTTTATGATGATGATGATGATGATGATAATAGATATTTAGAAAATATAGATACTTGATTCATAACATGAAATAAAGTGCACAAGATTTCATATTAATGCACGTGAATTCATACACATAAACACGAGAAAGGACCGATAAAAAGCAAAACGATATAATGTATCTAATATATCTGTGGGTAGCACAGATAAGGTCAAGAATCTACTAGAGCTTCAAGATCAAGATGATCAACAGAGAATTTAAAGGTTTCGAGACTATTTGACTCTCTCAAAACTCTGGGAAGTCGATTCCAAATTTCGAATCCAAATTCCAAATCCAAATTCTGGCAGTTCTTATTGGAAAAGAGTTATACACAAACTTATTGAAGGTGACTGGAATTTCTAAAACGAAAGAACCTCTCCTTGAACTAACCGTGGGGTTAACTTTGAATAAATCTCGAAAAACAGGATTCTCTGTTGATGAGCTTGATTGAAAAAGAGGATTCTCTGTTCTGTTAAATTCTCTGTTGATGAGCTTGATCTTGAAGCTCTAGTGGATTCTTGACGGTTGCCTGCCCTTTACAATTTCAAGATCAAGATGATCAACAGAGAATTTAAAGGTCTCGAGACTATTTGACTCGCTCTATTGGACTTATGTTCAAAAAACCCAGAACCTTTTTGGTAAAATTAGCTAGCTTGCCTAATTGAATTTGAATGAATCTGTAAAAGCAAAAAGCTAAACAAAAGCTAACCAAAAGCTAACCAAAAGCTAAGCCAAAGCTAACCAAGATCTAAGCCAAATCTTGTCTAACAGCTCATTTATCCATTGAATAACAATTGCTCTTTGATATTTAACTTCGAATAACCGAATTTTCAAAAAAGAAATTGAAAATGTGTATCATCTTTCGAGCTAATACCGAATAAGGGCACTTCCATCATAATTTGGGCAATGAAATTCGATACTTGTGCAGTGTTGGGGTTATAAATGCTAAAAGGAAAGAAAGAAACGAAAATTGTTTATTTTAGAAAATCAATAACATGATTTAAAATCAAGGCTTTAAAGTAGTTGGTAGACTACCGGTAGACTTAAAGTATTCGGTAGACTACTTTAAAGTAGACTTGCATATTGAAAGCTTCAAGTTCAACTGACTCTAAATAATGATTTCTACATACTTTCAGAAACAAGAGTACTATGTTTAGATAATAGAATACGTTTATTTTGAGATCAAAATGAGAGTTTGGTCTGCTGGCCATATTTTAGCCTCCAGCAAGACCAGCATTACAGCCAGACCGATGTTTGGTACTGATTACTCTAACTAGGGAAGTTAAGTTAAGGTGGGCTTGAGTGTTAAATCTATTGGCCATATTAGAGAGTTAAAGCGCTTGGAGTAATCCATCTAAATAAGGGCACAGGGTAATCAAAAAGTTCCCGCACACTTTACAAAAGAAGCTCGATTTACAAAAGAAGATTTTTCAGCTAAAACCCAGCTCGAAATTTGACTTATTATATCGTAAGTTGAAGCTAAAATTGTGCCGAGAATTTCTAGAGCTAAACCATCCTAAACAGAGCCACCTAGCTCTCCAAAGGCGCATTCTAGTGCGCTCGAGGCAAACTGTCATGATCTTCACCTATTTGAACCTGTTTTCAATTGAAAAATCCTTCAAAAAGCCTTTTTGAAACAAGACAAGTGTTAGGATATCAATTAAGACGTCTAAAATGGGATTCAAATGAAATTTTCGATACAATTTGCAAAGATCTAACTAGGGAATGTTGTCAAGTTAAGGTGGGCAACGAGAGCAAGCCTAGAGTGTCAGTTGAATTTGAGCCTCCAGCAAGACCTCAAACAAGACCAGCATTACAGCCAGATCGATGTTTGGTACTGATTACTCTAACTAGGGAATGTTATCAAGTTAAGGTGGGCTTTTCGAACGAGAGCAAGCCTATCTGATAGAGCTTTTATAGATAGATTCCGAATCCGGTTTTAACTTCTCCGAAAGAGCTCTGTAACGCGAGATTTTTGGTGTACAAAATTTGGCCCCAATTTCGGTAGGTTTATAAGATTGACATGCCTTCGCTCAAATGTGAGCTGGTGGCTTAATGAATAGTTTGCTGGCGCGGGAGTTTTTGTTGGTTGCTTTTCCGCTTAACTGCCAAACTTTTTTGCTTTTTTTTGCGAAACCTTTCTAAACACTTTTCATGATCCTGCAAGAGCCAATAACTCTCTTTCATAAAGTTTAAAAAGGCATAACTTGTTTAGTTTATAGAAATTTAGAAATATTCAAAGAATTGTTCGGAAATTGTTTCAAATAATTGATTCAACTAACATAAATGATATAAATTAAAGTAAAAAATAAAAGAAAAACACTCAAAACAGTATAAAAACTTAATAAAAGCGCAAATGTTACATGAAATTTCAATACAATTAGTTGAAAGCAATGTTGAAAGCTACAATTAGTTGAAAGCAAACTGCAAAGCAATATGCTAATGGCGTCTCATCTTTGTTAGGTTTTTGCTGGCCCGAGGTAAACCATGGACATTTGATCATTTCGAGAAATTTTGGACTTTGGAAAATTCTGCAGACTGGAAAAAAAGACTTAGAAAATCACCCGCAAAGTGTTATCTCTCTGATCGTTAGTCTCTGACTCCAACGATAGTCTACCTGTGGCCATTAGTCCTAAAATGTGGCCATTAATCCGTTTTACAATTGCTTTAAATGGTGCGAAAAAGTACAAGTACAAAAGTGACTGAATTTCTCCCGTCGTTCCAGTATATTCATCATACAATTCTCCACAGTATATTCATCACATCCAGTACCCAGTATCCAGTATTCATCACATTCAAAGTAACCTAGAAATATCATGAGAAGTGTTTAGAAATGTTTCGCAAAAAAAAGCAAAAAAGTTTGGCAGTTAAGCGGAACAGCAACCAACAAAAACTCACGCGCCAGCAACCTATCCATTAGGCCACCAGCTCACATTTGAGCGAAGGCATGCCAACCTTATAAACCTACCGAAATTAGGGCTAAATTTTGTACACCAAAAATCACGCGTTACAGAGCTCTTTCGGAGAAGTTAAAACCGGATTTGGAATCAGGGTAAAAAGCTCTATCAGATAGGCTTGCTCTCGTTCGAAAAGCCCCCTTAACTTGATA